CCCGCCCCCCCCCGACGGCGGGAGCGCCGCCCACGCTACATTCGAGGTGTAGCACACGTGGCCGGTCCTCTCCTTGAGCACCTTCATGGTGACGTCGGCGTGGTTGTCCCCGGCGTTGAGGAAAAAGCACGGCACGACCCTGTCGTCCATTTTCGTTGCCGGCCGCTCCCACATGAAACCGTACTGGAAGAACGGGATCAAGCGAAAAGGGCCTCCCTTGCCGGTGTAGAGTTCCTGCGGCGACGCACCCAAGGAGATGCTGACTGGTTCAGCTTCTGCGCGGCGTCTTTTGCGGACTCCGCCCAGAGCTCATCGCCACGAACACTCAGCCCACGGACACACGAAAATCCTGCGANGGGTAGATGCTGGGGCGTGGATAGAGTCCCCGCGGAGGGGGTTGGTGAAGTATTGCANCACCCAAGGAGATGCTGACTGGTTCAGCTTCTGCGCGGCGTCTTTTGCGGACTCCGCCCAGAGCTCATCGCCACGAACACTCAGCCCACGGACACACGAAAATCCTGCGAGGCCAAGCAGCTCCTGGGCGGCCCGGCGGGATGCCTTGGCCACCTTGAGGCCCCTCTGGATGGCGCTCTCGACAACGCGGTTGTACTGCTGCACGCTGGGAGGGGAGTACTCGAGCGCGATCCCCATGCTGGCACAGAACTACTTGAAGTTGCTGCTGGTCAAGAGGGCATCGCAGTTCCAGTGGATGCACTTGATCGCGGTACCAGCCTTGTGTGCGGCATCCACGACGATGCGCTTGACGACCGCTAGCCCCTCCGACTTACGCCGCATGGCGTAGCAGACCATCCATCCCGTGGCGGCGTCCACACCGAAGAGCATATAGTGGTTGCCACCGATCGTCGCCGTGTAAGGGGGCAGAGGTCGATGTGGAACACGTCGTTCGGCGCCCTCTTGCCACGGTACCCGCCTCCCTGCTTCGGCACCGGCGCCCTCGTCCCTCGCGCCGGCAAGCACCATCGACAGCTGTCCATCGTGCCCGTAAGGGTAATCCCGTGCTGCTTCGCGGACAGTCTCAAAATGGGTTTGGACAAGTGGCCGGCACGGTTGTGGAACGTGTTAATATCCATAACCTTTTGTGCATTGCCGACATTGAAAGGTGTCTTCCCCGGACCCAACACAGCCATGGCGCGTTCACACTCTTCACTCCCCCACACATCAATCATCTTCGCCGAGTATTCCGCTACAGCATTCGTCACACGGGGGGGTTCTAGATCGGAATCCATCGCGGCTGTAAGAGCCGATGCCACAAAGGAAAAAGAACTCTCACGGGCTTTCTCATTCGCAACGTCCATAGAAGGCAGGGAATTGTGGGGAAGGCGGGTTGCAAAAAGGGAATCGCTCGAAACGCCACGAATATAACGCAGTTTTCCGTGCATCATTTGCTTACCGTTGGGTTGATACGGACCTAATGCTTGTGAGACACCTTCCATACCGAGAAAAGGTTGAGACCACACCCGCGTACAAACAAAACTTCCGGCACAGTGACATCCAAGTCCTCCTGTTTCACGTCGGCTCCGATTTGGTGGAACCTAAGGTCCACACTCCCTACAGCGGCAACCTTGATGAGAGCCGAGTCTCCAATCTGAATAAATCGTTCATCCGGGCCCAAGTGGCGTACATTGTACATTGC